TTGTAATATCATGTGTAGCTAATAAAAAAAAAAAAAAAAAAACCTATTGGATTGAGAGTTGACCCTTGTAAACTGGCATCAGAATAAAGCAGAGTGTAATCAGAAAAACATAGTCATCTACTAATGTCAGATCGAAATCATGAATTTAACAAACATAGAATCTTATAAGCCTTTCTGACCTTTTTCCTGAGGTGGTCCTGTTCATGAAAGCTAAAAAGAGTTGAGGGAACATAGACAAACAAAGGGGGCTAATTTTTCCCTGGAGGAACTTCCCAAAGACGCAGCTCCATTGGTCTCCTTGGGAGAGTCCCCCAGGTTGGGGTCCCATTTTAAACTGGTTTTTCTGATTTCTTGGATGGTGGCCACCAACTTTTAGCCTGACGTTGAAAAATCTTTAGACTATTTTTTAATAGTTGGGAGTTATTCATGCTTGCAAATACTGAGAGACAAAAGCCAAATTTCCTAGACAAAACCATGTTTGTTGTAATACAATTTAGGAATAATAATTTTATGAAACACTTTAGTTTTAATCTGTCCTCTACAGGAACTGACATGATCTACCCTGTTGGCCACCTGGCCCAGTTCCTAAGTGAAGGCAATCTCTAGAATGCCTTTTTCTTTTTACCTTTAGCTTTTACTTTTGACCATTCTTTTAGTCCTGTCGGCAGCACTTTACATTTTAATGCAAGCTGTAGTGAGCACAGTTAAAGCTGTTTTAACCATTTTTTTTTTCCATTAGAAACACACTGAGGTAGAAACTAACGCAGAACACAAAGGGAACAAACAAAAACCAACCAACAGACAAAGTCCTGAAAATTGTTAAGAAAACAAGTTAAAGGGGTCCAGGTAGAGACCTCTGTAGCGCTTCCTGTCCATGATGTGGTGGAGCGAAGGAGTCCTGATGAAAGAGAGCGGTTATGGGAACCAGAAAAGGGCCCCGCACAACACTCGCACAGACAAACAGGACAAACGGCCGAGGAACAGACACTGGACCAATGACAAACAGCAAGAAGACGCTGGAGAAACGACAAACAGCAGAACAGACACAGGACAAGCAACAATCGCTGAGGTCACACAGGGAGACCTCTAGTGGGGCAGAGACCACGTCTCATCCTGCCCCTGGGAACAGATGAGGCCCTGCAGGGAGGCCTCCCGGGGGACAGAGACGACATCTCGTCCTGCCCCCAGATACAGACAGATGAGGTCACACAGGGAGCCCTCCAGGGAGACAGTGACAAAGTCTAGTCCTGTGACATCTCGTCCCGTCCCCGACTTGGTGTAAACAACTGCGTCCAATCTGACCTTGTCCCCAGAGGAGTGGACCAGAACTGACAGGCCTGCAGGAGGCTTCTCAGAGCATCCTCGGACGGATTGGGGTCCCCCCTGGAGTGAGGCTGAGGAACGTCTCTCAGGAGCTCCCCTCTACTCCGGGGCCGAGGTCCAAAGGCCCGTCGTTGGAGGCAAATTTGGCGTGAGGGTAGGGAAGAAATGGATCCTGGACAAGCCCCCAGATGTTATAGTTAAAGCTTCGTCCCGGGGTTTCATAAACTGACTTCCAGACCACTCACGTATAATCGAATCAAGCCTTTATTGAAGCACATCGGTGGCGGCTGACCATAACATAAAGCTGTTCCCCTGATCAGCCCTGAACAATTGCAAGGGCGCTCCTTATAAGCCTGAAAACCGCAAAAGGGATGTTCAGGGTCCAGCCAATGTAAGCAAGTCGGGTTACAGAAGCAGGAGAGTGGGGTCAGGTGGAGGGAAGCCTAACCAATCACAGTTAGCCCAGTCACCCCAGTTACAGAAACAGAGCCCCGTTACCCTAGTTACAGAAACAGTGCCCCATTAGGGAGTTCCGTGTTCTTAAAGGTTTCTATAGCAAAAGGAAAAGAGCATCTTGCCCCAGTCACGACCCTTCTATTGGAGTTACTAAACAAAATGGAGTCACTTTGGCTTGACCATCACAAAGGGACTTGTGGTATTATTGGGAAAGCACAGTTGATAATGCAATTGCACAGCTGACTAGGAAGAGGAGTCCGAGCACCAATTGATCTTCTCTGTTCCACCAAGTTTGCTGTGACCTCCCTGTGCCCTGAAGCCATCTCCTAGGTCAGCAGCAGTGCCCACTAACCACCAGGCAGTTGATAGGGTGTGGCAGGTTGGTTCAAGGACAGCGCTGAGGGTAGAGCGTGGTTTCCATAGGGCCTCAACAGGGCTGCTTATAAAGAGGCTGTTCAGGGGTACAGGCCACTCGGGGCAGTACCAGGTGCCAGATCCCAAGAGACATGCTTAAGTGCTATGTAATAAAGTGTGTGTGGGGGGCGGGGGGAGAGAGTGAGGGGGGAGAGAGCACACTAAGGGGCCTTCTAAATCTCTGGGTGCTGAGCAGGAGCCCCCTTAGTCCAGGTCTAACGGTGGTCCTGCCCCCATATGGAGCTCAGCCTCCTGGCAATCTACAGTCTCATGATGCCACCCATCATCTCGCCCTTGGACCCCTGCGACAGCCTCCCCGCTTCCTCTGCCACCCCGTCCTTCCATGCAGGCAGACAGGGCCCTGCAGCAGCCGGGGACCCCTGACCCCATCCCCCACCACAGGCCACCTGGACACGCTCCCCCTGGGTCTCCCCTGCTCAAAGCCAGGGCATTTTCTCTTTTCAAGCCTCAAATTAGAACAAAGCCAAGCCAAGACACAAACCCACCCAGCAAAGATTAAAAAATATATATATATAGGAAGGAAGGAAGGGAGGGAGGGAAAAACGGGATTTCTGGTTGTCTAGTTCTGACAAGGACGTGAAGAAAGCCTCGCCTGGCGTTGCCAGCCCATGGAGTCACTCCTGGTTAGGGACTTGGCTTGCTTTTGTTCTGTTTGGAAGAGTTTTTTCCAGAATCAACTTTGCTGAATCAGAATTGATCAAATGCACACATTTATGGTTCAATGAGTTCACAAACATACCGATGTGGGGACAGCTGCGGTGACAATCCAAGCACCCCCACATCAGGAAGTTGTCTGGGGCCCTCTCAGTCACGGATTTACCGTCGTAGGCCACCGCGGTGGGCTTTCTCTCAGCACAGATCCGTTTTGCCCCACAACTGCAGACAGAGGACATCAGACACCAGGGCCCGGGAATGTGGGCCGCTCCGTCGGCATCAGGTGGGTGAGATTGGTCCGAGTTGTTTGGGCATCAGTATTTGGTTTATTTTTATTGCTTGCAATTCTCTTTTGTAGAAAGATGCCACTCTGTCTTCCTGGTGAGGAGCATCTGGATATTTAACTTGGGGCTCCTTGGACATGTGCTGCTATGAACTGTCACGCACAGGACACTGCACGTGACACACTTTCTTTCTCTTGGGCAGTTCAGCGATTTTAGAAGGCAGTTTTGGTCACTCTGATACTTAACAGCAGAGGGAAAAATACGAAATGCCATTGATGGGAAGAAAGGGCAATATTCAACTAGAATATAGGAAGGGAATGGAAATCGGTGCATCTTTAAAAATTCTAACTGTGGGGCTGGGGTAGGGCTCAGTCGGTAGAGTGCTGGCCTCGCATGCAAACCTGACTACAAAGGGGAGGGGTGACAAATTACTGAACATATATGAAATGAACAAGAAAACAACTTGGCAGGGACACCGTAACACCATAATAATGCCTTTGGGGAGTACTGATGTATTTCTACGGATAAAGACTTGGCCACATGAGGTAGAGATTCAAAGGAGTGAAGGAGTCACTCAGTCCATGATATTTGCAGAGCATGGCCTTGGCCCAGGATTGAGGGGGTGGTAGTGAAAGAGGGGCGCCTGCTTCATTGGCAGGAGGTAGGGGACCCTGGGGAGATCATTCCCTGCTTTTTGTTTGGGGGGTGGTTGAGCAATGCATTTACTGAAGATGTCACCCAACTTGGTCACCTCTTTTGGAAAAGTCCCTGCCTCTAGTGCGGCGTGGGGGTCCCGCTGAACCTTTGCTCTTCACAGTTGTTACCAGGTGCAGTTGGCACTGAGTCCGATTGTCCTCGGCCCTCCCCTGAGCACCTGATGCCCCACATCCCCAGGAACTCTCTAGCTACCTCTGGTGTTGGATTGATGGCTGGATCCACCAAGTCTCGAAGCTTCGTGGGCTAAGAATTGGGGAGCAGTAGGAATGCAGTGCACCCTGTTTCTCCACAGAAAAGTCTCGAAAGTCTTACCTGGGCCTCTCCAGAAATCTCCACCATGGCTGATTTTAGGACTGTCTGCAAAAGAGTATGTAGATAAACTTCCTATTTTCGTGTTGCCCTGTTTTACTTGGCCACTGGCCGGGAAGAAATCAGCACTCCAGGTGCTGGACACCCCCTACTAGTTTTTTCACAAACATGTATCCAGTGTACTAGTTTGTAGAAATGTGCAAACAAGGCCTCTGGCCTTAAGCTGGGCTTCACAGAGATGGCTACATTTCTAAGATAAGAGAAGTTACAATGGGGCTCCACGGTAATAGCTGGCAGGGGAGGAAAGAAAGGGGAGAAGAAGCTCTCCCCTTCTCAGGTGCTGTCCTTGAAGGGTTAACTTGCCCAGAACAGTGAAAGAAAAAGCTGCTTTCTGTGACCTTCGGCAGACTGTGAACTTCTGAGCCCCTCCCCCTACGTGCTGGGTATAAAGTTCTGAAACTCCCTGGACTCGGGGTTCAGGGGATTGATTGATTACAGCCAAAGCTGTGCCCTCTAAACCTGGCTGCAGCCAAATAAAGCTGTGCCCTGCTGTCTTCGGTGCCTTGCCTCCTCTGTCCCTGCAACAGGAGCAGCTGCTGAGCGGGTCCCTCTGTTGACGTGTGCTCAAGCTTTGTCGGATGTCACTCCAGCCCCACACGCACCTGGGCTGGGGTGAGCTCAGCAGGTGAGGCGGTCGCTGTCCTGGCCTTGGAGGTGGGACTCACAACAGCTTCGGGGATTTCCACCGGCAGGATTGGGTCACAGCCGTGAGCTGACCTTTGTGGCTCCAAGAGCCCCTCCCACATTTGTTAAAAAGGTCACTGCGCCCTCCTGCCCTGAGCTCTGCCAGGTGCCTCCTGCTCTCAGCATGGTGCTGCCCTGGGCCCTCGCAGTCTTGAGCCTCCTGCCACTGCTAGAGGCTCAGAGCCCGGCATGTGCCAACCTCACGGCCAAGCCCATCACCAACGCCACCCTGGACTGGGTGAGTGCCGGGGCCAGCCTTGCTCTGGGGCCAGAGGCAGCTGCCTCCCCTCTCCGGGCCCTTCTTTCTCTACTGGCTGGGGTCAGCCCCTTACCTCTGGTGCTGGGATGAGATTCTGACCAGCCTGGGGGACACTGGTCGCCTCCCCCTGCCTCCAAATTCTCCAAGGCGAAGTCCCTCGGCAGGGGAGAGCTCTGTGCTGAGCATGGCGAGGCCCACCGGGGGGAGGACCTGGTGAGCCCAGCAGTCCCCACCCCCCAGGGCTTCAGCCCCCTGCTTGCAGAATGGAGGTTCACGTCTCCCCGAGGCTGGTTGCTGCCGACCTCCAGAGATTCGGCTCAACCCCTGCGCCTGCCCCCTCCCCAGCTCTCTGGCAGGTGGTTTTACATCGGCTCAGTTTTTCTGGACCCCGCGTTCAAGCAGATGGTTCAGAAGGTCCAGGCCTCCGACTTCTACTTCACCCCTAACCTGACCCAGGACACGATTCTGTTCCAGCAGTACCTGAGCATGTGAGCCCCCCGCTGCCCCACTCCAGAGGCCGGAGGCCTCAAGCCCGCCCCTCCCCCCCCGGGCCTCGCCTCCCCACGGGGGGAACAGGACCACCGGCTCTCCTCTCCAGCAGCCCCTTGCCATGGCCCTGGGGTGGGGACTGTCCCTTCTTGACGGTCATCTTGTTTCTCTCCTGCCTTCCATCTGGCTTTAGCGATGACCACTGCGAATACAACTCCAGTGTCCTGTGGGTCCATCGAGAGAATGCCACCCTCTCCAGATATGGTGAGGGCCTGTCCTCAGGTGGGAGGGGGTGGAAGGGAGTGGTCAGCCTTCAGGGGAGGGTGGGACTGAGGCCCCGGAGACCTTGGGCACAGAAAACAGAAGGCGGCTCTACCTGCGAGGTCCCCCAGGTCTGGTGCCTGGGCGCTGCAGTAAACACAGGCACTGTTTAAATGCGTTATGAAGTGAGCCAGTTTCCTGCCCACAAGTAACCCCAGGAGGGCATTTGAACAGATCAGATGAGGAAACAGGGGAACAGAAACATCAAGGACTTTTCCTGAGATCACACAGCTGGTAATTAGAATTCAAATCCCAATCTAGCTCCAGACCTCCTCTCTCTTAAGCACCCTCTGAAAGTCTCTGGAAGCTCAGGTGGAAGCCTGCACGTCCCCACTATCACCAGAGATGCCACAGAGTGCTGTCGGGACACAGCTGGCAACACTTAGCAGCCCCAAGCCCCTCTTTGGCCTTGTGTCCCTCATTGGTGACATAGGGACAGACTCCGGAAGCCCTGGCCTATGTGGGGCTCCCACCTGGCTGCGTCTGAGAGACGGGCAGTGGGGCCCCCTCCGGTCTCACCTGGGCCCTTTGTCCTGCAGACAGCGGCAAAAAGTTCATGGCCCAGCTCCTCCTCCAGGACTTCAACAGCACCTACTTACTGGCCTTCTCGATGGACGACGAGAACAAGCGGGGCCTGTCCTTCTACGGTGGGCCCCCGCAGCCCCAGAGCCCCCTGCCCCAGCCTCTCCCTCGGGGCCCATCCCAGAGCCCCAGCCCTGCCTGGCCTCCCGCCGCCCCTGGCTCCTCACCCAGGCCCTCACCCGGCCTGCCTGTTGCTCCTCGCAGCCAACAAGCCCGAGGCCACCCCTGAGCAGCTGGAAGGGTTCCGTGAGGCGCTGGAGTGCAAGGGCATGGACAAGTCGGAGATCATGTACACCGACTGGAAGAAGGTGAATATGGGGCACCCATTTCGGGCAACCCCAGAGGTCCAGAGAGGGAAAGCTGCCCACCAAGGCTGCACAGCAAGGCAGGTCCCCTGCTTGTAAGAACCTGCCCTCAAGCTGAGGCAGCTGAGATTCAGAGACTAGTGGGTGTGAGATGAGAGCCCGGGGGTCACCATCCCTGCATCCAGCTGGACACTGGAGCCGAGAGGAGGACTTGAAAGGCCAGTGGGGGAGGATGGCCACACCTTGGGGTGGTAGGTCTAGGAAAGACGCACAGTGGAGAGGAGGAGACGATGAGCACCTCCCACACCCCGGGCTTGGCCTGCCCCCCATTTCTACCTCCCAGCCAATGGGGAACTGGGGTCATGGTTTTCAGTGAGGCCCCGAATGGCACGCAGCCCCCGGCCGCGGTCCCGAGTTTTGTTGAACAGGAGGGTGGGCTGCCCGACGGCGCCACAGCCCCTGCCTCCAACCTGCGTTAATTGAAAGGTGTCACTGACCATCCAGAAAATCACCGAGCCCATGAGCTGGTGACGCGTGACCTGACAGACCCGGGAGATCTCCATGACCGTGACAATAAAACCTCGATGTCCATCTTCCACCTGAGACCCTTCCTCCCCTGACCACCAGTAGTGGGTCCCGGGGTTTCATGGACCCACCACCTGAGCTGCCCCTCCTGCCCCACAGCCTGGCCCTCCCCTCCCCTGGCCAGGGGACTCCACCGGGCATCTGGCCACCCCAGCCTCAGCAGCTGCATCAGCAAAACAGTGGTGCCCACAGGTCCCGAGCAGACCAGCTGCCGCAGCTTGGGCCCCATTCTTGGGCCAGCAAGCTGGGGCGCAGGGGCAGGGCCAGCCCCAGGGCCTCTGCTGGGGAGCCAAGGAGCGGGGCTGGTGCCACGGCCCCAGGAGGCCTTGCACCCGGTCACTCGCGGCCCTCCCTGCCCTCTCCCAGGACCAGTGTGAGCCACTGCGGAGGCAGCACCAGCTGGAGAGGAAGAAGGAGCCAGACAGCAGCCCCGGGCCGCCTGCTGGGGGTCACAGCTCAGAGCCCCCCTCACCGTGACCACCTCACACCGGCCTCCTCGGTCACGGTCCTCTGCCTCAGTAAAGTTTCTGCTTGGGACAGTTTGCTGGTCACCTGTGTGTTCGTTCATGCCCACTCATTTCTTGATGGGAAAGTCTGCCCGGGTGGGGCCTGGCTGAGGCCCAGCCTGGCGGGAGGAGCCGGGTGGACGTCACTGGGCCCGGTGCTCTGGGAGCCCGGCTCAAGGAGGGCTCCTCTGCAGGGGGACGGGCTTCCTAGGAGGGGTATCTGCGCCCATCTAGGAGGATTGGGAGCGGCAAGCCCAAAGGGACACATTTCAGGAACCAGAGACAGAGGATGAGGACGACAGGAGGTGGACAAGGGGTGGAAGGACCCTGGCCATCCAGGGAGATGAGCTGGGCGGGGCCAGGCTGGAGGCAGGAAGGCCCGAGCACAGGCCACAGAGGGCATCCTGGCAAGAGGCGGCACCTGGGCCGGGCAGGGTGGGTGACGGGAGGACTCGGGCCTCAGCCAAAGGGGCTGCTGTCTCCTTGGAAGCGTCCTCAGAGGGCCCCAAAGAAGACAATGACACCTGGAGATGAAGGTACTCCCCAGAAGCCAGCTCACATCTCTCTGGAGCCTTAGGTCAGGGCCGTGCCCAGGGTACAGACAGAGCGAGCACCTGGGGTCAGGAGTCCTGCAAGAAGCCACCAGGAAGTCACGATGGGTGGACTCTTGGATGTGAGGGCGGCAGACCTCTCGGTTGGAGAAGGTCGGGGCTGGATTGGTTAAATGATCTATGCACACAGCTGCCCACGCCTTCCCGAGGGGCGGCTCAGGATGCCCATGCCCAGCGCTGCCCCCAGCCTCCTAAGACAACACCCTTGCTGTCCCTCTTCCCAGAAGCCATGGCAACAGCATCCCTCGTCAACAGCTGGACACGGCTGGGCCCATGGCACTGAGACTGGGGACGCTGCCCTGGGTCCCCAGCTTAGGCGCCCCCCATCCTGATGCCCCCAGAACATGGCAGAAGAAATGGCCTCTGGCACGCCAAAAGGCGAGATCTGGAGGCTCAGAACCAACAGGAAAGGTGTCCAGCTCAGGGTCACTCTCAGGGACAGGCCTTTTTCAACACTGCCAAGGATCGGCTCAAACCTGAATGAGACATTGGTGCTGGCGGTCAGGGAGGGGAGACTAAGAGGTGGGGCAGGCCGAAGGAATGTCACTGCCCATTAGGACGCCTGTGTGGAGTTCAGGTCCCAGTCTAGCAGGGGCTCAGGAGACAGCAGTTGTTTCACTACTAAAAATTTGAGCACTGGAAGGAGAGTCCAGACTCAGGCTTTTGCTGTGTGTATCTCATAACCTCTCTGGGCTTAGTGTAAAGAGGCTTGGCCTAACAGCCAAGGTTTATGGCTTATGGTTCCAAGACAAGTGGGGGCAAGCTGCAGGAACAGAAGCCCGCAGCAGGAGGCAGAGTCAGAAAACTCTTACTCAACAGGTCCCCTGGGGGAGGGACTGGCTGGGTGTCAAGTCTTCCCTCGGCCACACGCTTGACTTTAGAAATCACGGATCCGTGACACACACCACAGACGCAGGCCATTTTGGGAATGTGGGTGGTTCTTTTTTGGTTGTCCTTTCTATTTTTTAGATCATTATTCATTCTTCTTCATTTACTCTTGTAACGAAAATAGACTTTTAAATGCCTCAAATATACAAACGTCTGCCGCGCACACACATTCCAGAACCCCAGGGCACTGCTGCAGGGCGGGAGCCGACAGCCCGGCTGCAGGGCCCCGGCTGGGGCCTGGCAGGGAGCTGGTCACCAGTCCAATGCCACTGAGATCCTAGGAAGGGCCCAGGCCTGGGGCGAGGTGCAGAGAGCCACTGGCGGGTGGCTTCCCAGGGCTCTGGGAGGTGTCCTCAGCCCAGCAGGCCTGGGGGAGAGGCCTCTGCAGCCCTGCAGCCCAGCAAGGAGCTCAGACGCCTCAGAGTCCTCAAATGTCCCACTGCCCAGTCGCCAGGAGCAAGGCCTCTGACAAGGCCCTTCCCAGAGGTGGCTGTCACAGGCAGGGGACAGCTCTGCTCCAGACAGCCTGGCCTTTCCCAACGTATCTGGCCTTGTAAGGAGGCCAAGACCAAGGTGACTCCCAGGATGAAGAGCGCCTGGCCATCTGGACATAAGACACATGTTATTAGCTGGAGGTGGACAGAGCAGGAGAGGAGAGTCCCAGAGGCTCCGTGTGGGTACAGTGGCCTTGCTTGCAGCACCTGTGGACGGGGCTGGTCCCCGGGGAAGCTACTCCGCCTCCCAGGCTGACGCTGCTCCATCTGAAGGTACCGGGCAGGGCAGGTCCTGGCCCCCCTGAGGAGGGGCCGCAGGGCTTTCTGGGCATCAGTGGCTCCTCCCCATCTCAGAGCCTCTGGGGAATCAGAAGAGGCAGGAGTCCCGCAGGCCGTGGGCCTGGCGCAGGTCGGCCGACAGCGAGCGGGTCATCCTCCGGGTGGTGGAGCGCACGTCCTCGGCAGCCTGCACCGCCTGGTTCAGGGCCGAGTGCAGCTCCTCCAGGTCATCGGGGTCCAGCTGGATGGAGTGCCGGTGTCCCCGGTGTGCCCGCAAGGAGGCTGTGGGGACTGAGGTAGGCGCTGTGGGTGCGAAGTACCTGGGGAGGGAGGGGGCGCTCATTAGCACAGGCAGCTGGGCACCGACCCCTTCCACACCCCTCCGTGCTCGGCACACCCACGAGGAGGGCTGAAGGCAGGAAAGACGCACAGCCCAGTGCTGGCAGGAACTGCGGCCAGGGGACCCTCCCACACTGCTGGGGGAAGGGGACCGGTGCCTTGGTCCTCTCCTCCCACAATTCAACCACCTGCAGAGCCGGGCTGGCCTCCTTGGCACCAGTCGGCACCATCTCCTCAGGAGCAGTGAAGCCCGGGAGTTAGTGAATGAGGGGACAGTGTCACACACCTGAGCAGAGGCCAGTGGAACCAGCCTGCCCCAAAACCTGGTCCTTCTGCTCGGCCGGCTGCAGGGCCCAGGAACCTCCCCACTCAAGGCCTCTGATTTCCCCCTCAGAGGGGAAAATGGCCAGAGTGAGCTGAAGGGAGAAGTCAAGTCAGGAGCTCGCAATGCCAGGCCAGGGAAGCGCTCTGTCACGGTCAGCTCCCGAGGCCCAGGGGCAGGCTGGAGTCGCCCCAGACCTGACGCCGAGCATCTGGAGCACAAGCTAGTTAGGGAGCAGCCCCTGCTGATGAGCGGCTCTGGCCTAAGCATGGACGGCAGCCCGCACTCCTGCCTCTGGGGAGCTCCCCGCACCCCACCTTCTGCTTACTGGATGGCCAGGTTGCCAGAGAATTCCCCCAAGACCCTCTAGGGCAGAAGCCCCTGCAAATCCTCTGGGTGCACAGCTCTGCAGTGGGATGCGGGGCGGCGGCCAGCAGGTGGCAGCATAGGCCAAGAACGTTCTAAATTGCACCAGGCACCACTGAGCACGCCCCGTCCTGCTGCCCTGCTCCCTGTGCATCAAGAGCACTGTGTTGCTGGCCACCTCCACTACCACCGGCTTTCTGGGCATTCCTTCAGCTGATCCTTGCCACAAGCCATCTCACACAGGAAGAAACGGAGGCACAGGGGCCTACCAAGTTCCTTGGCTACCACTGCCCCCCCCCAGCTGCTTTCCTCTCCCCATAGCCCCCCCAGGCTGGAGATGCTGACTGTCTGGCTAGTTTTCCCCAAAGGCCTGAGCTGGAAGGTGGTGGCCTCAGGAGCAGTAAGGAGACCCAGGGCTGCCCGGGGGGCTACCAGTTCCAGGCAGAGCCTTTACTGCCATCGAGTAGGAACCCAGCAGGGGTTTGCAGTCTTGTGCCAGGCCCCGGGCATGCAGAAGGATGCGGCCAGGCGAGGCTCCTATGGGCCTGCCCAGGCTCGGCAAAATGCCCCAGCACAGGCCAGCCTCCTTGGGGAGGCTCACGGTGGACAGCACCTGGGTGTCTGCTCCCGCCAAGCGTCAGCCCACAGCGTGACTCTGTCCTCGCTGCCCAGAGCATGGCCACTGAACGCTGGCTGGCTTGTTTCACTATGGGGGAAACTGAGGCAGAGATCTAGCTGGTGACAGTTGGGCAGGTCTCCTAATTCCAGGGCCCAGGCTTCCTTCCCTCCACAATCCTGCAGGAAAGCTGCTGAGCTCATTTTCCTTCTAACTAATGACAATATCGAGCAACAGCAATGTCGTCTGGAAGGACAAAGCTCCTGTTTATTCAGTGATGAGCTTGTGCCAGCACCTGGGGTGACTCCACTGACACCCCACTTGTCCCCACACAGTGCACATGGCAGAGACCACTCCCCACGGACAGATGGCAAAACCGAGGCTCAGAGGAGGTAGCTTTGCCCTGGCTACGGGGCGAATGTGGGAGAGGGGACTCCAGAGCGGCTCCGCCTGGCTCCGAAGCCGCCCCACTGCACAGCTGCTCTGCCGTCTCGGTGGCCTGTCCTCCAGCACCTGGCAGGAGCACCTCCCAGGCACCCAGAAACAAGGTGGGTCTGGGAAGCTGCCAGACTGCGGAGCAGAGGGGATGACAGGGAGAGAGAGGCAGGGACTTCCTGGAGGCCACCCTGAAGACAAGCGAGCGGCACTGAAGACATCGCGGACTTTGGTCAACCGTCAATGCTAACGTTGGCTGGTGACAAACGTGCCATACTCACTCAAGATGTCACAACAGGGGTTGTGGGACCTCTCTGCTCTATCTACTCAACTCCCCTAAATCCAAACTGCTCTAAAACAGGAGTCAATTGAAAAAACAAGGGCGTCCTCATGCCTTGCTTGGCCACATGGAAATGGCCAAGT